AGGGAAGGAGAAAGAGAGGGAGAGAAACATTAATGTGTGGTTGCCTCTCGAGCGCCCTCTACTGGGGACCTGGACTGTAACCCAGGCATGTGCCCTGACTGGGAATCGAACCCACAACCCTTTGGTTCACAGGCCCGCACTCAATCCACTGAGCCACGCCAGCCAGGGCAACCAGGGCTCATTTTTAAACACTGAAAAGGACAACACCTTTAAAAGTAGCGACTTGCCAAGGATTTATTTTCAGTTTCTCAATGCCACGTATGCCTGTCAGTTCACTGAGGCCTCCCATGAGCAGCCCCCACCCCAAGGCATCCTCTACCTGAGGAGCCCCCAGTGGTCTGGATGGCCCCTTCCTCGGGGTGGGGTGGGGGCCTGCTCATGGCCCTGTCATGTCTCGGAGCCTGGTCCATTCTCTGGGCTCGTGGTCAGCCTGCCCAAGGCCGAGCGGGGTGTTTCGGCATCCCCACCCTCGTCCCATCCCGAGGGGCTCCGGCAGAGCAGCGGTCAGGCTTGGTTTGTAACCGCCTTTAAAAGACTAAAAAGCATATGTATCAAGCGAACCGAGTCCTCTACTGGATGCTATGTGCCTGGGTGGGGGGGGAGGCAGCTACCATCCCCCCAAAAGAGATGAGCGAGGTAATTTTTAGAGCAAAAGCAGTACTCTGGATTCCAGAAGAGTCTCTCCTGAAATAAGCATGCACACTTATTTTAGGAGAACGTGAATCAGGCCTGCATCCATATGGCGCCGTTACCGCACTTCTGAAGTCAAAACCTGTGAGAAACGAGCCTCAGAGAGTCCTGACACTTGCAGAGCAGAACGGAGGCTGGCCGAGGGCCCCCTCCCTCTCTCAAGGCACCCTGCCAGGTCCTCACTCCCCACAGGCCCCCAGGCGCCCCTTTCTCTCTGCTCCCCACGCCGTTTGCTGTTCTTTCCAGCCTTCCCACTCCCTGGCGGGTGAGCTCCCGCCCCAGGCCGCGGCCTCACCGTGGAGAAAAAGGAGGCACCAGGTGGACAAGCAGCGGGCTTGTCAGTGCGGGGTCTCCCTGTCACTGGGGTGCTGGTGGACAGAGCTCCAGGGGAGCTTGGGAAGAAAACACAGCTCACAACGACACGGTGCGTGCTCACACGGCCTGCTGCGCCCGGCCGGAGTTCACGGAGAAAGCAGAACCCCAGGCCGGCAGCGTGCACGGGGACATCTCATCTGTCACGGGGACGGAAATGCAGACTCTCCCGGGGCCGCACGGCCAAAGCCAGCACTGGAAGCAGCTGACTCTATGAAAACCAAATGAATGAACAGCAGTCTTAATAAGAGATGCATACTCTTATTAGTCCCACTCTGCAGACAGGGAAACTGAGGCCCAGAGAGGTTCACCAATCTGCCAATGTTACACAGTGACACTGGGCTGGATTCAAAGTCAGAGGGTCTGCACCTGGGACCACAGCACCTGTAGACAGGTAGACGAGCATGAATTTTACTATGTTCATCTGCACACATTCAAGGCACACTGATACCTGCCTTACAACCGAGCAGGCTGGCAAAGATTCTGGGAAAGTCGGTACCACCACCGCAGAGAGCAGGCCGAGATGCAGCCATTTGCTAACTAACACCATCTGCACTTGCCGACCAGGGCCCACCCCAGGCACTGAGCTCCCAGCTCATTTGCACAGGGGCAAAGAACCCGCACACTGGTTGTTACAAGGTTGCCTGTAACAACAAAAGAGCACAAAGCTCCTTAACCCAGAGACCGGCGGAACACTTCCGTACACATGAAGCAGTGGGACCTCAGGCTGGGGCAGGGAGGACAGGGAAAGTAACTAAAAGCAGTGTGTTTGCTTTCTGGTAACTTTCGATTTTGATACCAAGTGTATGTGCTGACAATTCAAACTCACACTGGCATGGAATGGCCTGGAAGGACTTACATCTGAGGGTGGCGGGCCTTTGGCAGTACCAGGTGCCCCTCACACCCACAAACTCCCTTCCGATGCCAGTGAGAGGAAGGAAAGCTTTTCTCCACATTTCAGGGCCTGCGGCCTCTGCGGACCCCTGATCCAGTGGGAGGGTGGAGCGGGGAGGGGAGAGAAGACAGTCCTCCCCCTGCGCGGCTACCCTCAGACAGAGCGCCCTCGGCCCTTTGTGCACTCCACAGCCCTGCCTCTCTGGGCCCTGGGTCCCTGCCTCGCCCGGCGGCCAGGGCGCCTCTGTCGCCAGCTCTCCTCCCACCAGCGGTCTGGTCCTGTCTCCACGTCTCCCATGAGACTACAGATGAATGAGTTTGCACTAATCCAGTCTTTCGGATCAAACGTCAATACATTCTTCTTTGATTCTCCCACTAGTAACAAAGTTTCCCATCATGGCCTTGAGACATTATAGCAAAGGTTGCTTGCCTCCCTGCTAACAGGGGAAAAGACACAGGAACGACAATACACCCTCAAGGCTGCCCTTCTCTCCAGATGAGAGGGTGGGAATGCACCTAGAATACTGAACTGAAGCAAGAGGAAAGAAGTTGGTCATCTTAAACTATTGGTCACATGCTAAATAAAACATAAGCAAACATTCAAAGCCTGGTGTTGTGCAAGGGAAGGGAAAAACCCAAAATGCAAAGAGGAAAGAAAAGGGGGCCAGTGTGCCCGAGGAAGTGGGGGTGCGGAGTATGCTGGGGCTGGGAAGACAGGTGGCTGTGGCTGCAGGACGGGGCCAGCAGGTGAGGTTTGCCAGGAGACAGGCTGCCCAGGGTGGAGGGTGGGGACAAGGGTGAAAGAAGGCTCCACTCAAACTGCCATGGACTTGGTGGCCACGCTGTTACCTTATCTGTAAAATGGGGGTAACATGGGACACACACGGTGGTCCTGAGGATCACCCGAGAGGTCCTGTCACTGCAGCGTGACGGGGTTAGCAAGCTCGGCTCAGCACCTCACAAACCCCACGGGGCGTCCCGGTCCCGGCTCTGCGGCCCGGCAGGTGCCGGAGCAGGGGTCCCTCTCTGGGGCGCCCGGTGGGCTGGCTGCAGGATCTCTACCCCGCTCCCAGCAGCACACAGGTTTCCCACAGCGCCCTGTCTCCGCCCAAGGTCTTCCAGCTGGCCACGTCCATCTCATCCCCTTGACTTCTTTCGTGAAGTTAACTTGCACTGCCCTCCCCAGAACCCTTGGCCCTCCAGTGACTTGGCTATTTGGAACTTTCTCCGACCTCTGCTGAAATCTCTTGTCAAAATTCCCACTCCCTGGAGGTTTTGCTGATTAACAGATCTAACTACTTCTCTAAAATTCAAAACCAAATGAATGTGGAATGAAGAGTGTCAGAGAATGGTTTTAAAGCAGGCAGACTTCTATCGCTGCTTCCTATTCCCAACCACACTCCTTTTCTCAGTCCTCCAGGGAGAAAAGTGCACTAGAGCGACACGCTAGTCCCTGGCCCCCCCACACCCACCCCTGCCTCCAGACACAGGGTCCTCGTGTACTTGGTGAGGGCCGGTGGGACTGAAGACAGACACTAATGGGACACTGCTCTCAGCATAAAAGAGCTTTACACGTTTTAGTGCTTCAACACCAGAAAGACTGCACGTCTGGAACTTACAGGAATGGACCCGTGTCAGCTGCTAATTTTGGCAAAGGAACCACGGCCATGTCTGACGGGAACAGACAGAAAGGTAACACTGAGTGGGAAACACACTGGGATGGCCTGTGCTATTTCTTGCAATTTGTATGTAAATTTACAATTATTCCAAAACAAGGACTTCGTTTAAAAAGCAGAAGGACTATTGCTCAGATTAGTAATTAAGATAAGTCATTTTTTAAAAAGTGCCCCGAACAGGCCCGCCGCTGTGCGACTGGTTGTTTTAAGACGGGAGTTTGCCCTGGGCCTGGCTCCGAGGGGCTCCCACCAGCAGCACGCACTCGCACCCTGCGAGGAGCTGCGAGAGCGGAGGGCCTCGCTTTCCGTCCCCCAGATGTGTCCCTGCTGCCACCCCAGAGCCCACAGCCTGGGGCAGGGAGACCAGGGCAGGGCTGCGAAACTCCGCGGCGCTGGGGCGGAGCGCAGCACCTGGCACAGGGCAGGGCTCATCAAACCTCCGTCTCGTCCCCCAGAACGGAGCAGAGGCTGAAGGGCGCCCAGCTGACGGCAGAGGGGCAGCTGGCGCGTGTGAAGCACCTGAAAGGGTTTCCCAGAGCAGGCAAGCCGCGTCTTGAGGCTTGGGTAGTTTAGGAGAGTGAGGGACTCTGGTTGACGGAAAAAAAACAACATTCTTGGCAAAGAAACGGACAGGTTAAGGTGTGTATGTTTTGGATACAAAGAGAAAGAAGACGTGCAACTGAGCAGAAAAGACTTGGGGGTGGGGACACTGGTATCTTCCAAGGCCACTATCTGCCTAAAACGGAATTCGTCATTATTTCTATCCTACAACCCAGCACACGATTTGGACATCAAACATGCCAATCACAGGCAAGGCTGGGGGAGGGGGACCCTGCTCAGCAGGTTTCCAAAGCGAAGGCATTTGCAAGCTCTGCTTTAATAGAGCCAGTTGCCACAAGTGGGGAACTGGCGGAGGGCAATTCAGTGTAGTCACGACCTTTATGTGGGCAACTTGAAAACGTTTCCCCCTTTTCTTAATTATTCCTAGGAGACCTTTTTTGGCCTCATTTTCCTCCCCAATGGCGAGTTATTATTATTTTTTTAAGAGGGAAAAACCTGTATTATGTAGTTCATTCCCTCTGTACATTTTTTTTTCATGGCGGGGGTGGGAGGAGGAGGGAAGAAAGCGGGGGGGGGCGGGGGGCAAATATTAGGCTTTTTGGTCTGCTCCAAACGGAGTGAACCAAATACCAACAAATCAAAGAATCAAATCAGAAGGAAAACATCGACAGGTGCGGCCCACTCGCGCCCCGCCCGCCCGCCTGGACGCCCAACAGGTGCCTCCGGACCCCGCCCGCAGCTGCAGGCTCCTTGGGTCGCCACAAAGTGGCCGCCCGCGCAACAGTGTCCAGGCCCGCCCGTACTCACGGCCGCTCGGCGGTCCGCGCCCCGGCCCGCAGCGCCCATCCGTCCCGGGCCTCGGTCAGCGCGGGCTCGGTTCTCAAGCGCCCCGGGCGCGACCCGGGACGCGCTGCGGCCGTTGTCGCCTCCGCAGGGCGCGAGGCATCCTCCCGCCGCCGCCCCGCGGGCCGCCAGCCCTTTGTTTTGGAGCCGCGGCCCCGCCGCGCCGCCGTTAACGGCCTCGGAACGCAGGGCCGGCCAATCAGCACTCAGCACTGCCCGCGCCCCGCCCGCGCCCCGCCTCGCCCGCGCGCCCCCGCCCGGCGCGCTCCGATCCCGGGAGCTCGGCCGGCACGCACTCGGCCCGGCGGGGCAGGGGCGCACGTGCCGCGGGGCGCGCCGCGCTTCCATTGGCCGGCCCTCTGAGCGCGGCCTCGGAGCCAGCCTGTGAGGGCCGAGGGGCGCAGGGGCGGGGCCGCGCGGGTTGGGGCCGTGCTCGGGGGCGTGCTCGGCGAAGAGGGCCGCGCGCAGGCGCGGGTTGGTCGGGGCTGGTCACTTTCCACGCGCGATTCTCTTGTGTGGAAGCCTTACCAGGAGAAGGCCGCGGGTCACCTGCTCTCTGCGCACACGCAGATTGGCCATGGATATGCTGGGCTCACAGTCCTGTGGCGGAGGTGGGGTGTGCGGGTTGACCGTGCGCGGCGCCTCGGTTTACCCGCCCAGACCCTCCTTGACCCTGTCCGTGGAGTCCCGGGTCTTGCGCACTTACCCACTCCGACCACCCTCCCTGAGCTCTCCAAGCCATTCTGAGAACCTCTGGATCTGCACCTGGCCACTAGCTCTGCTCTGGAAGCCCCAAATTGGGCCGATGGTGGGCTCGAGCTCCAGGCAGCCCGCCCCCTCTCGTTGGCCACACTTTGTGCCTCACTCCTGTCATCATTTTGTTGGTTCCATGCCCTTTCTCTACAGATTGTTTTTTTAAGTACATATTTTTTTAACCCATAAAGTTGAGGTTACATTTTGTGTAATATTTTTATACATGTCCGCATTCTTCAGATCTTGTTTTGTGCAATGCACTGTACAGATCTCCGTGTCTTTGGGTGTCACCCGAGTTATTACTTAGGAAGCAGCTGGCTGTTGCCTCTTAAATATTTGTGGGAACTTATCCCTTCTCCTAGCTATGTCTCCAGCTCCCTGATCTCACAAACCTGGTTGCAAAGTGGGAACTCAAGATTTTAAGATGCCTTGTTCAGATGTGTTAGCATCTCTTCCTTAACTGTTAAGCCTTTCAGGTCTCTCTCTGTTTCTTAAACATTACACTTCTGTTGTTTTTGTTATTGCAAATATCTTTTCTCAACCAGTGCTTTTGTTGAGAACAAATTGTACTTCTAATATGATCCACAATTTATGTAATTTTGTATTTCCACTTTTTGGTGGGGCATTTTTCTGTTACTACAGATGTTCTCATCCTCACCCAAGGACTCACCCATTGATTTTCAAGAGGAAGGGAGATAGAGGAGAGCAACATTGATGTGAGAGAGAAACATCTATTGGTTGCCTTTTCATATGTACCCAGACTGGCACTGGAACCTGCGACCTAGGCTTGTGTTCTGACTGGTAATCGAACCAGCGACCTCTTGGTTTACGGGATGATGCTCCAACCAACCAAGCCACCAGCCAGGGCTTTTACTGCAGCTTCTTACAAATATTTTTAGTAGCTGCACAATATTAAACTTAACAGATACCTACCTACATATTTAACTATGTATGGTGGTTGGGCACTTCGATCATTTCTGCTCTACTTAGCAGACCCCTTTGTGTTCTTTGAAAATTGGCACCAGACTCTCTATTGTTTTTTGCATCATGGTTCCCAGCTTCATTCTTGGAGGCGCAGCTTTCTCTTAGAGTCTGAGTGGCTGCAATGTGCGTGTGAGTTGTAGGTCATCCTTCCGGTGTCCTGTCCTGCAAGGACCTTGTCCTCTGCGTGGCCCGAATACAACCCCCCTTGCTGACCACTCACCAGTGCCTTTCAAACGTCTTTAACCATGACCGCAGTCAATGAGACATGTTATGGATGTGAAGTTTCTGTTTGGGATAATGACAGCTGGGGAGAGTGGTGATGGTGCACAGCAATGTGAATGTACTTAAAATGCCACTGAGTCACACACTTAAAAGTGGTTCAAATGGCAAATTTTGTTACTGTTTTACCACAATAAAAATAGTAAAAATATAGACTCATTACGATTCAGTATACACACATGTAAGAAAAAGTTTCATGATTTAGTGCTTATTCTGTGCAGTGTCCTAGCACTCTCTGTACCTTCCTGTGTTCATTCAAGACTGATTTCACAAGGCACCCATCGGCCATGGCCTGCAGCCTGCCACCCGTCCCCTGTCCCCACCACCCTCCCAACCTCCATTTTGGGCAGCCCACTCGAGGACAGGGCCACACTCTCTGGATCCCTCCTGGTCACAGCCACCTGCATCAGGAGCCACAGTGCATCGTCCCCTCCACCTGCCTGCTGGCCGTCCTCTTCCCTTGTGCGCTCACCTCCCCCCTCAGCCCCTTGCTCATGCCGCACACTTGCCCGGCAGACCCCTGACCCGGCGAAAGGAAACTGCATGGCTGGAGAAACGCTTTCCTCGTGGAGACCGGTTTCCAGGGCAGTGCCGTCCATCCGCCTGGCAACCCTGCCCCAACTCTCGAGTCCATCCCTGCCCCCGCGTTCCCAGAAGATGACCCGACACCTCCTGCCCTTGCTAGCTTTGTGTCCTATGTGACTGAAAACATCCCCATCAGCCAGAGAGCTTGCCTCCTGCTCCCGCTGCTGACCTTCCCGCTCCACCCCGCATCACGAGAACATCACCCATGTCCTCCCCAAGACCGTGCAAGAAGCAAGAGTCCACTCGGTCCACCCCGTGCTGCTGAAGGGCCACCTCAGCCATGATCTCCTCTTCCTCCTGCATCCTCAGTCCCCTCTTTATTGGGTTTTCCCACCAGAATGAGGCATGCTCTCATCTCCACATCCCCCTTTTCACTGTCGTCCTGCTTCCTGCAACTGTTCCGAGCAAGATCACTCAGGGGCAGTGGGGCCAGGCTCCCCCATTCTCAGGTTTCACTCCCAGCCTCTTGATGGAGGCGGTGGTGCCAAGCCTCACACCTGGCCTCAGCCAAGCCTCCCCAGAGGGTCCAAGCAGCACCTCACCCCCCACCTCTCATTTCCTAGTCCTGTGCGTGCACGGGGTCAGCCCAAGTTTGGAGGGACCCCCTCACTTCTGCGGCCAACTGCAGGTGTGAGGCTCCCACGATAGATAGCTCTTCGGCCGGGTCATTTCCTAGAAGTAGACGTGGAAAGCTGCTACACTCACAGCTACAGTTTACAGCAGAGAGGGGATACAGATTGGAATCAGCCATCGGGAAAAACACACACTGAAAGGTCCAGGGACGTCCCAAACATGGAGCTTCCGGTGGTCCTCTCACCACAGAGTCACCAACAGCCGCCTCTCCTGGTTCCAAGGAGTGACGACACGCACAGTCTGGCCAAGCAGGGGAGCTCGCAGAGCCTGGGTGCGGGGGTGGGGTGGGGGGGGGGGGGGGGTGTTCAGAGCTTTCATTGGGGCTCCTTCACACAGCCCTGATGGACCCATTGATGGAGTGCTCCAGGGTCCCACAGTGGGAGGGACCCAAAGCACCCGCCCCGAACCCCGTGGCGGGTGCCCTCACTGGAAATCACATTGTTAGACCATCCGAAAGGACACAGCTCCCAGGCAGGCAGGCAGGCAGTCCTTCCGGTCAGGGCTTACAGCCTGCCCCCCAGAGCAGAGGGCGCAGGCCCGGCTCTTCGGGGCCGGGTGAAGTTTGTCCTATGCAGTCCCCCTGCTTCCCCCTCTCCAGACACCTGGGCTCCCGGCCGCTCCTCCCCAGCAACTTGCCGGCCCCTCCCCTGGAAGGCCCCTCTTGCTTCAGGCTTCTCCTTGGATGTGTCCCCAGCAAAGGAGCCACCCCCTCCGGGCTCGGGGGACCAGCCACCCCCACTCAGCTTTGTTCCTTCTCCTTACCCAACGCCCCCAGCCTGCATTTTCTCCTTTGTTTGGTGTATCGTCTGTCCCTTCACCGGGATATGAGTCCCATGATGGCAGGGGCTTGGTTTGTTCTCAGCTGTCTGCACCACTTAGAAAACCTGCCGGATGAGCGAGCCCTGCAGGACGACCGAGGGTCCATGAGCTCCAAGACGCCGACACCAGGAACGTCAGCATCCCCCAGCTCCTTCCTGCCAGGATGCCCCGAGCACTGGGAGCCCTGCCGAGGTGGCGTGTGGGCAGTCATCAGGGCTGGCGTGCCACGGAGGGGTGGCGGTGTTCAGCGGCGTCACAAAACAGCTGTCAGCGAACCTGCCTTGTGACAGGGGCTCCAGTCCAACATGGGTGGATGGAATTTGAAAGTGGATGAGAATGTGGAACCCACGACACTGCAGGTGCTGTGGGGGGGGGGGGGGGCTGTCCAGCCGCACTCGGCCTGTGGCACGGGCTGGCCGGCACAGGGCTCACACACAGAGGTGGGTGGCTGAGGGCTGGGGCAGTCGTCCCCAGGGGAGCCAGTCTGGCTGGGTGGGACAGGCCGCATTGGATTCCCCTAAATGTGACTATTGTGGCGATGGTGGTCTTTATTTATTTTTTTATTTTATTAAAATTGATGGATTGATTGACTGATTTTACAGGGAGAGGGAGAAAGAAACATCCGTTTGTTGTTCCACTCACCCACACATTTATTCTTGTTCATTCTTGCAAACATGTGCTCTGACCGGGCATCGACCCTGCCACCCTGGTGTGCTGGGACAAGGCCCTACCGGACTGAGCTACCCAGCCAGGGCTGGAGAAGGTGGGGTGGTCTTTAGGGGGTGATTAAATTAAAACGAGGCTGGTAGAGTGGGCCCTAATCCAGCCAGACTGGTGTCCTTGTGAGAAAGGACACACGGAGAGACGGCCATACGAGGACCCAGGGAGAAGATGGCTGCTGTAAGCCGAGGAGAGAGGCCTCAGAAGAAGTCAAACCCGCTCATATCTTGACCTTGGACTCTCAGCCCTGTAAAGAAAAACATGTTAAGCTACCCAGCTTGGGGTACTTTGTTATGAAAGGCCTAGCAAGCTAATACTCTGGGTTTTAGTTTAGGTTGAGAATCACATCAATGATATGGAATGTAAAGGGAAAAAAATACCCCAACCACCAATCAGCCCTGGCTGGTGTGGTTCAGCGGGTTGAGTGCTGGTCTGTGAACCAAAGGGTCACTGGTTCGATTCCCAGTCAGGACACATGCCTGGGTTGCAGGCCAGGTCCCTAGCAGGAGGACACATGAGAGGCAACCACACATTGATGTTTCTCTCCCTCTTTCTCCTACCCTTCCTAAATATTTAAAATTTAAATATTTACATATTTAAAATTTATACATATTTTACTTATAAATAAATAAAATACTAAAAAAAAAATCAGAAGAAGAAGAAAAAAGAATAAAAAAATGACAGTGTGAGTGTAAGTGTACGCAGCCTCTGGGACAACTTCAACTCCAACATTCCCATCATAGGGGTGCCAGAAGAAGAGAAAGAGCAAGAAATTGCAAACCTATTTGAAAAAATAATTAAATAAAACTTTCCTAATTTGGTGAAGGAAGTAGACATGCAAGTCCAGGAAGCACAGAGAGTCCCAAACAAGATGGATGCAAAGAGGTCCACTCCAAGACACATCATAATTAAAATGCCAAAGGTTAAAGATAGAGAATCTTAAAAGCAGCAAGAGAAAAGAAGTTCCCTACAGGTGACTTCCCATAACACTGTCAGCTGATTTCTCAAAAGAACCTTTGCAGGCTAGAAGGGATTGGCAAGAAATATTCAACGTCATGAAAAGCAGGGGCCTCCAGTTAAGATTGCTCTGCCCAGCAAAACTATCACTTAGAATCAAAGTGCAGATAAAGAACTTCCCGGACAAGAAAACACTACAGGAGTTCATCATCACCAAACCATTATCATATGAAATGTTAATAAGTCATTTAAGAAAAAGAAGATAAAAACTATGAATAAAATGGCAAAAATACATACCAACAATTGAATCTAGGAAACAAAATAAGCAAACATTTTGATGGTTGCCAGATGGGAGGGGGTGTGGGGGGATGGGGGAAGAGGTGAGGGGATCAGGAAGTACAAACAGGTAGTTACAGAACAGCCGTGGGGATGTAGAGTACAGTATAGGGGATGGAGAAGCCGAAGAACTTACATACACGAGCCATGGACATGAACAACGGTGGGGGGACTGTCTGAGGGAGTGTGGGGTGCTGGGCGGAGGGGGGCAAAGAGGGAATATCAGGCCAACTGTAATAGCATAATTAATAAAATATAACTTAAAAAATTTCCAGGGTCAGGATTAAGGAGAGAAAGATGTAAAAGCAGAGATGAAATTAAGTTACTGACAGAAGCGGTTGCCATGGTATCGTACTGTCCTTGGAGCCTGCCACCTGCCACTGTGATTCCTCCCTTCTTCCTGCAAATGAAGGATTCCATGAGGAAAAAAATAGAGAGAAAAATAGAATATATGTCTTAATTAGGAATAGTCACTAATGACAGGAGTTTGTATTTTAAGAGCATATATCAACACACAGAGTTTCTCAAAATTTAAACAGGTCCCTTGGCATCTTGTTAAAGTGCGGATGTTGAATGTGGTACGTCTGGGTTGGCGCCGAAGATTCTGCATTTTAATTTTTAATTGCGAAAAAAATTACATAAAATTTACCATCTTGAACCACAGCAGCTGTGTTTTCAATGGGCTCTGGGGTGATGCTGACGCAGGGGGTCCGTGGCCCACATTCTGTGCATTAGGCTTTAATAGAGCCTTTCTTTGTGCTGCCGCTCAGGGTCGGCGGGGCAGCGGGCAGACCAAGCGAGCGAGCCGCACAGCGTGCTTTCCAGGAAGTTCCTGGCAGGCAGACAAGGGAGGGGCAACGCCACTTCAGAGTGGCCAGGAAGCTGCCTGACTTAGAAGTGTGGCTGGGATTTGCATGTTGGAGGATCAGAGCCTGAGGAGGTCACTTTAAGACACTTAAAATTTGGTCATTGCACCCTGGCTGGTGAGGATCAGTGGACTGGGCACCGGCCTGGGAACCAGGGCGGTTGCTGGTTCAATTCCCAGTCAGGGCACAGGCCTGGGTTGCAGGACATGCCCACCCTTTGGGGGGCGGTGCACAAGAAGGAATCACACACTGATGTTTCTCTCCCTCTTTCTCCTTCCTTTCCCCTCTAAAAATAAATAAAATATTTAAAATCTTTAAAAAAATTCTGTCATTGCTGTACTAACTTGCAAGTTAGCCTGGTCATTCCTTGATGCTGGATATTGGAGAGTGCTTTACTCTCTTTTCTTTTTAATCCTCATCCAAGGATATATTTACTGATATTTTAGAGAGAGAAAAGGAGAGAAAGGAGAGAAAGATCGATTGGTTGCCTCTTGTATGTTCCCCAACCAGGGATCAAACCCGCAACCTAAGTATGTACCCTGACCAGGGATCAAACTCTCAACCTTTTGGTGTATGCGATGACGCTCCAACCCACCGAGCCAACCGGCCAGGGCTGCTTCACCTTTTTGCCGTTACAAATAATGCCGGTGCAAATGCCTCTGTACATGTGGCTGTTTTCCCTGCAGTTACTGTCTAGGGAAAAATAAAATCCCACCAATGGAATTACTGAGTCAAAACGCACCTTCTACCTTCTGATTGGCTCCAGTCTCTGCCAGATTCCACGGTATTCATCCACAGCACTATTAGCAGCGTCAAAGGTTACACACTCCTAACTACTTCACCTCTGGCTTTTATAATTTTGCTTTTCCTGAAAAACCAGGAAGCAGCATGTGCACAAAATGGCCCCTCATCATTTTAATTTGCATTTCCTATTTATGAATGGCCCTGCAAGTTTTTCTTCATGTAAGCAGACATTCTTTAATTGGCTATTAGTTGGGAACCAGGCAAATCTGTACTTCTGTGATTCATTTGTGCTTTGGAGAATAGACTTTCATTACTGGTCGCTGTAGCAGATGTGTTGCTGGCTCCAGCGCCTGCCCCTCACCCCACCGCTGCCCACGCTGGTCTGTGTTGAAGGCAGAGGTGGAGACATTTCTCTCCAGTCCCCCAGTCTGTCCGAGTCGCCGGACTTCCTAGCTTTCCCCAACCACACCTACTGAGCGGATGCCCTGCTCTTCCAGATGCATTTGTTGCGAAAGGTGTAGGTAAGACAGCAAGCATGAAAGCAGGGCGACTTCTCTTAGTGCCAAGATGTAGAACTTCACAGCCATCACTCCCGCCCTCACAAGAAAAGAGCTGAACTGAAAATCAATGATGTCCTGGATCCGTGAGAGAATTGAGGTCACAGGACACGCCCCCACACCCCAAACTGTAGAGACGGGCAAAGACAGAAACGCACACAGCTCACCAGTAGCAGAAGCCACTGGAGCCAGGAACTTGAAGGAACATTCCAAGTGGCCCCTTCAATGGTAAGGTTAGTGCAAGTTAGATGCTGAGTGTGGACTCATTTGAGAGTTCAAAACTCATGGGGACCCAGTCTAAGGGGGCCCCATGATGTCATGGGTTTACCGTCAGGGAGCCCCAGCAGGTGCTCACAGTGAAGACTGGAGTGAGACCCCCTGGGTTTATTACGGGGAGAGGGAAGACATCCATCCGAAATATGCCTGGACAGTCCGTTCTCCACCACGAAAGCCAGACAGCAAGGGAGATGGCTTTCTTAAAGCCTCAGCCAACAGGGCAAAGGGACCCGCCTAACTCCAGCCCCTCTACCTAGGGGGACAAAAAGTCCCTGAGGAGCACCTATGAAGGTCACATCCCAGGGTCGTATGCCCACTGGAAGACTGAGACCGATCCATCTGATTACCAAGGCTGCCCACTCCTCCAAGCCTTACCATCCCATAGACAGAGCTCCTGTACACCCCAGAGGATTGCAGCTGGAGGAATGGCACATCTGATTCCATTTAAGAAGGTCTCTTGAGGTAAACCCCAACTCTACAGGGAAACAAAAGCAAGGTGCTGGAGGAAGTTTCAGCCTCTGACCTACAGGTGAGCAAACTCGGCCTAATTCCTAGCCAGAAAAACAGCTTCACACTCAGGGCCTGTCTACCTCAGTTCTACGACCCAATATATTATGTCTGGCTTTCAACAGAAAAATCAGCATCAGGCTGAAAAAAAAAAAAAGAAAAGAAAAGAAAAAGAAAAAACACAGTCTGAAGAGCAAAGCACACACTAGGAACAGACTCAGAGATGGCAGAGATTCTGGAATCACTGGACTGGGAACTTAAAACAACTATGACACGCCAAAGCTCTACAGGGAAAAGTGGACATCATGCAAGAACAGATGGGTAATGTAAGCAGAGACATGGAAACTCAAAGAAAGAATCAAAAGAAAATGCTAGAAAAAAAACAACTAGAAATGGAGAATGTCATTGACAGGTTCGTCGAAAGACTGGATGCCACCGAGGGAAGAATCCGTGAGCCAGAACGTCTGGTCGGTGACCTCTGTGCTGCCGACCCACTCCCCGGGTCCACTGTGGAGGTGTTACATCGCCTGCCGCATGGTGTTCCTTCACCTGCTCTCTCTGGCGGTGGGCACTTGCTCTTCTATGCTCTGCCTCTGTGATCCTTCTTGGGTTCTTCTGGGGCAGAAGCATTATGCTGCTCTGTGGAAGGAGACAGGCGGGGTCCTGGGCTGCCCCAACCTTGCTTATGCAAAGCAGGTGACCTTTTACTGATTTCATTTCATAAAAGGGTACTGGTACTAAAAATATTTGAAACTTGAAAACCACCGTTGCATGGAAACTATACATGCAGTGAACACTTTCAAAGGCAATTAAAAACACACACAATTATTTAAGAGAGACCAGCACTGGCTTTTGGGTGCTGTCTTCCTTCACATGTTCTCACCATGGGTCTCTCCCTGCGGTTCTGCATCTCCACCTCCACCTCCACGGGTAGCTGGCTCAATTTCAGAATACCCACACTTTTTCTTGCCCATGAAGTCAGCCAGTTCCTGATGCCCACAGAATGGGAATTCTTGAGTGTGGCAACTCTGGGAAGGAAGTAAAAGGGCTGTTTGGGCTTCAGAGGGATCAAAGGGGACACAGGTTGCTGGCAATGATGACGAGGCCACTGATCCTTGCCTGACCCCGTCCCCCCCAAGCTGCCGGGGTCAGTGCACTGGACCCCTGCGAGCAGACCACCAGCTCCTGTGCTGGCGCTCGCCGTCTGCAGACCTCCCTCTGGCACTGGCACCTCAAAGCTTTGGCCCTGGTGCCCCGGGTCGCTGCACACCCCCTTCCCACTGAGCGATGTGCCTCCCCCATCCTCCCGTCATCTCCACAGCTGACTGCAGGTTTGTTACCTTCCAGTCTTACCACAAAAAAAAGGGGGGGGGGCATTGGCTTCCCTGTTCCTCTGGTCAAAGAGTTCAAGAGTAATGTTTCCCAACTCTTGCCCTATTAGATGCTCTCCTTCCCAAAGTTTTTATTCCCTGTTTCTTTCTCTAGCCAGTGAGCCGCAGCATGGTCATTCAGGGTTTATCAAGCTTAACTAGCTGGGCACCCTGTCCTTGGACACAGCCCAGCACATCGCGGGCTGCTGTCCTAAACCAGCTCCGCTGGGTCACATCACCTCACTCTGGTCAGCTGCGTGGAAAAGCATCTCTACAGCCAACATTGAATGCAGGACATTGTTATATATAGACTTCTCTCTAGACTCAATTTTAGAAATTAGGAAATGGACGATGGAGGGGAAGAAGGATATGGGATAGAATTCTTCCAGGCACTGGTGATTTAAAATGCCTTTCATTTCAAAATGAGGAGATCCCTGCCTCTACCCACAGCACTATGGAGGCGCTCAAGGCCCACGTGAGGGGGTGACAATGTTTTATAGAGTTTTTCTGATCATTTCCGAAGGAGACAAAACTTTGCTTCCAAACGAGAACTACTTTTTCGTATTTGTTGTAATCATTCAGCTTTTGAGTCCACACCCTTAAGGACCTCACAGATAGACTACTGCAAAAGCAGTGAACGCAGTTTCTGGCCTTTTACAGTTGTGAGGTTTTCCCCCCTCCTCCAGAGATCTGCACCACCAGGGATTTCCTTAATAAGGACAGCCCGGGGCTGGCTCTGCACCAGGCGCACGGCAGGTACACAGTGCTGAGACGACTAGTGAATCAGCATCAAGTCAAGTAAAAAGCAGCCCACACCACTGGTTTCTTCCACTGGGTGATCTGCAACTGAAAGCGGACAGGGTGTCTTCCTTCCCCGCTGCTAATGACCGTCTCATGTCACATGAAAAGCCAACAGCATGACAGCCCACCTTGATCCACAGTTTTCACCCCACTCTGGTGACTTTCTGCACCCTGCAGACATCCCCCAGCTTGTCACGCCGGGAGTGCCTATGAGATTAACAGAAAAACTTGTATTGATCTCTGCTCCTGGTTCCTGACACAGGACTTTTGAAACTCATGTCATTTCCTGGGTGACAGGGCACTAGGAGCACCTTCTGTTCTAATTGGTCTTTGACCTGGTTCCTGACACTGGGTTTCTGCAAACCCTACGGTTTCGAGTGCTGGGAGTCTTCTGTTCTAACGAGGCCACTAGGGGTGGGCTCCTGGGTGAGCGCTGGTCACTGGAAACACCAGGCCATGATCAGAAGCTTGGAAATTTTCTCCTGTCCCTCATTCTCTTGAGAAGGGGAAGGGCTGAAAATGGAGTTATTGATCGGTCACACCTACGTGAAGCCTTCATAAAATCCCAAAAGTATGTGGTTCGAGGAGCTTCCACACTTTGAGAGGTCAATGTGCCCCAACTCAATGAGGACAGAAACTCCTACATTTGCTCGGGGCCCTCCCAGACCTTGCTTGACGTGTCTCATCTGGCTGTTCCTCAGCATTGTCGTATAAACTGGCAAACCAAGTTCTGTGAGATGCTCTAGCAAATTAGCTGACCCCAAGGAGAGGGTTGTGGGAACCTCCGATCTACAGCTAGTTGGTCAGAAGCTCAGGTCACAACCTCGGCTTGTGACTGGCATCTGAAGTAGACGGGGTGGGGTGGGAGGGAAGTAGTCTCTTTAGACCGAGCCCTTAACCTGTGGGATCTGACACTGTATCTCTGGGTAGAGGGCATCATAATAAAGTTGAATTCTTGGATACCCAGTTGTCCCAAGAATTGCTTTGTATTGTATGGAAAACCCCACCACACCAATGTTGGAAGCTTGGGTACCAGAACCCATACAGCTTCACTCTCAAAGAACAGGACGGGAACCGGAACACTGCCTTCTACGTGTCCACATCTCCCGCCACGTCCCCTGCGCACTGGGCCCCCCCTCACAACGGCATGCCAGTCCTCCTGCTCAGTCGCCTCGCCCTCTGCTTGATATCCAGCTGACATCGCTGCCAGAGAAAACCCTGTAGCCGCACAGGCTTGCTGCACCCCACGCAGACTCAGGAGTGTTGCCTCAGTCCGGCCCCCCCAGTGCCGAGCACCCGTTTCTGCTTCTCTTGGTGGCTCTTCCCCATTCTCCATGGACTGTTGCCACTTCACCTGAAAAAACACATCACAGGGTACAACCTCACCCCATTTCCCCCCTTCCACCTAGAAAATAACCTTTCGTTTTCAGCTCCCCCTTGGTACTAGATTCAGAAAGAGCCCCCACATCCCGTGCCCACCTAGATCCTCCCTTTACCTGCCCTCAGTCCTGCAAGGCCCAGCCCCATCGTCCCCCCGTCCCTCCTCACTTAGGCTCAAGACAGCCAAGCCTGTCCCCCAGGAAAACCAATCCTTCCACTGCTCCCCTGTGGACACACACCCCCTCTCCTCTGCCTGCTCCGTAACCCCCCCAAGATCTGGGTTTGGTTTCTGCGCTTGTCAGAGGACTGCTCTATAGTCACGAGTCTGCTCTGCATACCCTGGTTCTGATTAAATGTGACAAACTGGACCCCCCAGGGTGCTGGTCCACCTCTGACTAGAATGTCTGCGTTAGTGTCCAGGCGAAGAGCTTATCACAATGAAAGTGGGGAAGAATATGATCATTAGATTTCTGTGTTGAAGAAGGAAGATGACTGTTTTAATCACCGTGTACAGAATTTAGGCAACAAAGTGTTAATCTGTCAAAGGGAAAGCAAACGTCATACTCCCGTGACTGCTTCAAAAAGTCATTACAAACTCTCAGTTTGGGGGGGATCAACCCAGTGTCCTGCAGGAAGTTGTAGACAGCTAGGTTTTCCTGTCTCAGATGAACAGAAAGCAGTCAGTGAGATTAGCAGACACTTTAGTGCCACCTTAACAATAAAACTTAAAAAAGCATTTAGGAAGATTTGCTACTTACTGAGTACTTGTTTTTAAATTTTTTTGTTTTGACTCTTTTAGAGAGGGAGAGAGAGAAACACTGACTTGTTGATCCACTTATTTATGCATTCGCTGGTCGATTGTGTGATGCCCTCTGATGGGACCGAACCCACAGCCTTGGTGTATTGGGACAACGCTCTAACCAGCTGAGCCCCCACCCCCCGCTGGGGCCTGAGTGCTTGCTTTGAGGTCCTACACTAGCTAGCTGGACTGTATCTTCACAATCCTCACCACAGCCAAGCGAAGGACACCGGTTCCATTTTCCAGCTGAGGGACCGAAGCGCAGAGCGGCACAATGGCCTGCTGAAAGCCAGCTGCAGTTGTGAGCAGGGGGCTGGTTTTGAACCCAGTTTTATGGGCCCTAAACCTGTACTCTTTCTACAGTACTACACCAAAACATTTCTAATATTTTGTCTGGTAAATACCTCACCACATGATGCCCAATATCGACAAGAGCCACATGTCCAAGAGTCCTGAAACAGTCATAATTTCTTGGTCTGACAGAGGCTGCCAATGACACCAGCCCTGGTGGCAGAGTTGCTGAAGTTGAGGAAAGCAAGCAGAGATGCACGTGAGCACTGCATGAGGGCTCCCGGCACCGCCTTCTTTCCTCCCCTTCAGCCAGCGGTCTAGAGAACAAACTGGAAAAACGACGGAGCACTAAAACCCCAATGGACTCCAGCGCACCAGCTTATGGTTCTATCACTAATAAGCAAAGTTAAATTAGGAAGATTCACCTATTTTGGAAACATTCTAATAATGGATTAGATGAGTTCATATTTTCACACATAAAATTCCAATTAAAATGTACATGCACAGTACCATGTTATTTTGGTAACACGGACACAATTTAATGATTCTAATTTCTTTGTAGTTTTTTTACAAGTCAGGTGCCATAACATTCAAATAATCCATCTTTTAAAAAGTACGTTTACAACATCAAAAGAATTAAGATGAAATATAAACCTTTCTACTTACAATTTTTATACAGATTAACCAAATCACAGATACCACAAATAAATGTTAAATTGTAACAATATAATGAATAAACATTCAGATTCTTAATAAAATCTTCCTTTAACTTCTTTTTCTAAACTTACCATTATACTAAATAATCTATGCAGAGTTTTGGGGTACAATACCAAGAAGGCACCAACAGTACAAAGCAGATACAAAGCAGTTTCAGAACTTTCTTGAGTGCTCTACACAGATAAACAGCACAAAAAAGGCAACGAGCTTTAGGTGAACCTGGTGCAACCCTACAGAATTCCCTCTGGATGCTCAGAACGGGTCGTTTCTGACCCACGCTGCCGAGCTGGACTACAGTGAGAGAAACCACAGATTTACTCTACTGCTACATGCGTCTTGTCTGCACTATAGGAGTATCATATTTCAAACACCAGCATAACAATTTTAAAGCACAAATGCTTTAAAAATGTATAAGCAAAAGGATTGCTCAAATTTTCAAAACCACTACATTTACAAAAATATTTCCCTTAAACTTGGGATTACTCCAAAACATTGATTTACAAATATAAAAGTATTATGGAAGGACCCAAAGCATGTGTGCATTATGTACGTGTGTATTAACATACTGTTACCACACTATATAAAAGTTACCAATTTAAAAACTGTATTAACAGATAAGCAAATAAAGGTAAAACAGTCGCCTCTGATGGTCTGAATATCACGTGGCACGCAGCGAGGGCAGTACGCCGGTCTGGTGACCCTTCAGAAACAACCACCGATGAACCACGTGTGGCTCCTGAAAGCTAACAGGTGCCGCTGCCCCTGTGCCTGCAGCGGAAGGCATCACCGCAGACACACCGAGCCCTGTGCACTGCACGCGAGCACGACGACAGTCTTCGCCCCAGGCATCAAAGTGGCCTGTGCACCCCTACCATCGGCGCTGAGACCTGTGTCGGCACAGGGTCAACGTGAGTGCTCTCCAACCCACTGCACTGGCTTGGGAGGCATTTTATTTCATGCTAAATGAAAGGACTGGAATGTTTCAACAGGAGTTTTTTGCTTACATTTTAGACACCAAAAAAGCCATTAGTCTAAATGCTTATGTTCAGTATCACCAACATAAACTTATGAACTAATCTGTACATTTTTAGAGATGCAATAAGATTCAAATGATGAGTCTTGCACACGTAACAGCCGGTACTTTCTAACAGGTCCCTTGGTTATGACAATTCTCTGACCTATTAAATCAGGTTTGGCATGATTAATAACAAGCACACAACGTATGGTTACAGTGATTCTAGAATGCAGTTAGTGGTTTCATGCCATTCCGACTTCAGGGTACCAGCAAGGAGGATGAGAAAGAGCCCCGTCCCCAGGGATTAGTAACCAAGGCTATGGCTTTCTATTTAGAGAACTGCAGATTAACCTCCTAATAATACTAACATTCCATCTAAAAACAAAGAAACAAGAGCAGTAAAATCGTCAATGCTCCTTTTAAAGTGAAAACTGACTTATCAGAGTATCGCGTTAACAGTCACATCTACATCCGGTCAATGCTGTGTGGACCTGGACGTGGCAGCTCTGAGCGTGGAGGTGAAGCTCATTTCAGAGCAAGAATGTGATTCTGAGTTCTGAGGATGAGTCAGCTATCCTTGTTTAGCCTGTGAGGCATGAGCATCAGCACCCTGGGCTGGGGCGGGTGGGCCGAGGGGTGCTGAGCAGCCCTTTTGAGTGCTCAGCTGTGCCTAGCAACAGCTCTGGGGCACACAGGCAAGCCCTCTTTAGAAAGAACCAGAGAATCCAACCTGAGACGTTTGGGCTTCTTCACTAGAGTGTGACAATATTCTGCTGTGATATGAATAAAGAAACAGGTCAGAACTGATTTCTCTGCTGTGCAAGAAGGAAAAAAGGGGAAAAAATGCTTTCTAAATCATTTCATGTAAACCAGTGTTGGTGCAGCGCCTGGGTGGGAAGGCGAGGCCTGTAAGCACTTCTGTTCCAAGCACAAACTGAACCTGACTGTCCATTCGGACACGCTGATCCAGAGGAAATCAACACTGAATCTTAACATGAATATGAAGATAGAAGATGTACATTTATTTCCATGAATTACAAGTGCATTTCTGTTCATATTAGCAGGCAGTCTTTATATAACCCATTCTTCATTGCTGTCAAAAATCAAACAAGAAGAGAAATGAAAAGCTAAAAATAGAATTATTCCTAAGTGATCTGCTGAATAGCATTTTCCGTGGAACACAACTCAGAGGTAACAATAGATTTTTCATTTCAATCATAGGCATGTGGCACTTGGACAGTCATCTCTGCACAGAAAGCTGTAACAGTCATGCGAGGGTACAGTAATTATTGAACAAGGCAAATTTCTCACCACAGAGAGCAGTGGGGGAGTCAAGAGGAGGCACCGCACTGGGACAGAACACCGAGTCAATGCCACAGTGTACAGTGGCAGGAACAAATACTTAAAGAGATCAGGAAAATAAGGGACTGAGCTCCAAACATGACTTAGTGCTAGCTTTTTCTGACAGGCTTAGCTCAGCAGTATCAGAAACATTTGAGAGCACTTGATGACAGAACAGTGCTTCATGTCGTGAGCTCATGAAGGCTTTATTACAAACTGTTATATCGTAGGTTGAAAAATGAACTTGAGATGCTGACATGCTGTAGGAGGAAAAGAATTGTACACTTTCTCATTTAAAGACGCAGTGTTTACCCTCTGCTAAATCCCCAGGCATCGAATGTGGTTACACTGAATGTGGCACACCATGTGAAGTAGCTTGGGGTATGGGAACCCCTGGGACGGAGCTCCGCCCAGCGGTATCAGGCAGCCTACCGGCTACTTCTCCAGATACTTTCCTCAGCGCCCTGCTGTGACCTTTGTTTCTCACTAAATCTCCAGTGAAGCTGCCACTTTAAAGCTTTTTGCATAAGTCCTGCAAACACTCTGTTCTGCATATAACACATTTCGGCCAGTGTTATACCTCTGTAAATGGTACAAATAACCAAAGTAAATCTACAGAGTGAAGTCGCTGAGTGCAGTACATCTTTCTTTTATTTAGAAAAATGACTGAGTTTTCTAAAAGCTGGGCAAACAGTACATACCTTAAATGTTAGTGACTAACATGATATGAGAAAAGACACTGACAAGCGCCCCCAAGGTTCGCAGGACGGAGCACTTGCGGCAGGCTGCAATGTCATCCCAGGTGTTTCCACGAATTCCTGCTCTGGGGAAACAATTATGGTGAAAAGGTGAAGTGCAAATAAGGGGCTGTCACTGACTTAAAGTGCCCAAGGTAGTAGCCTTTCCTATCATAAAGTGAGATGCCAGTGACGAGAGCCAATGTGAAAAAATGATCTCTGGTGAGACTGCATGGGTCAGCAGGGCGTCATGTAAGCAAGGGTTCAGGAGAGAGAGGAACCACTGCATCTTTCAAACCAGAAAGCGATTAGTGACTAAAGCAACGGTAAGCAGTAGGTGCACTGAAGGTACGTACTGCCACAGGTCACCAGTGGGTGACACACACAGGGGTGCCAGGAACAGTTCTCTGGACTGAAGGAATTCTTTGAAAGCGTAAAAGCCACAACTACCAGAAACCGCTCCTCCGAATGGCTCAGAGGAGTCAAGGTGGGTAAGCTGAGACAGGCTGGAGACAGGACCAGGGTCAAGAACTGGGAAGAACACCGATGTCTGAGCACGTCCAGTCCTCTGAGCCCTTGTCCTATTGAAAAATAAACAAACCTATGAGTTAAGAATGAGTCGCATAAAAACATCAGCAGTAGCACTAGGAAAATGTTCAAATGTAAAGAATGAACCATATTAAAGCATACCAAAAACATCATGAAAAACAAAAAGTGAATAAATAAATAAACAACCCTGCAACAAGGTCATTTTACTCGAAACCACTTCAGGTGTAACATGGCAGTTCTGAAGAGGAAGGGCTATATTCACCTTGAAGCCACTTCTCAGACATTTCTTAGAGCATGTTTCCTTACCACGCAGAGGACACACAGACACTCGCTCACAGGCGGGCTGGCTTCACTATGCCCAAGACATGGTAATGTCCGAATCAGAGTCTGAGGGTCTTTATAATACAATACAAAGCAAAAAACTTTTCTCCCTCCTCATATTCTTAGTAAGTCTCTTTCTCTCTGGATGACCAGGTAGGGCAAAATCAACTACACGGTAGCAGAAAGCTCAAGTTTTCTCTGACTGTGATACGGAAGAACAGCGAAACAGAGTGCTGGTTGAAAGAGTAAGGGCGGCGGGCCCCGATTCCAGAGAGGCAGGGGACTGTGCAATGGTTCCTATCGGCATGAAAGGGCTCTGACCATCCAGGTCAGAGGTGATCTGACCTCCAAGACAGGACCCTGAAGGGCAGCAGGCAGTAATTTGCTGACAGCCTTCATTCATTGTCTACACAGGGTTCACCTGGCCCTCCAGATGGGCCTTGCAAATGGGCCACCTCCAAGAGGTCCACGAGGAGTGTCACCATATTCAAGTGTAAGAAGCACATTTCCCCCTTCATTATCCTAATGTCTCTATTTTACTTGGAGAAAGTATACTCCAAGTCAGATCTACTCTAACTATGTAATAGGCTCATGGTTCTCAACTGTGAGAGTCAGCATCCCTTGGAGTGTTAAGACACAGACTGTTGGGGTGTGGAGTGTAGACAGAACACACTTTTGGGAACTGCTGCCTAAGGCACCCAACTGTATGTAATGAATTAACTTCACCCCTAGGTTTCTCTTAGTTTTGCATCATCCTTGGTAGAAATGAAAACACTGCCACTCAAAACATGTTGTATGGTACTGGTTCTGATGAGGAAGCATGGTTAAGGTGGTCAGGAAGGCAACCAAATCTGTCAAAATGCATACAAGATACTGGTGTGAAAGGTTGGCTAGTATGACATAGCAAAATGTCGCTATGCTATTTCACAAGCGCTTTCAGATGGATGGCTTTTGTCTACCACTCAAGGTTCAGGACAGGAAGGGTGGGTGTTATGGCCCAATTGTGTAATGAGGAGACAGGCTCAGATATGGGAAAAGATCTCCACCTAGAAGTACACCATTTGGAACTGCAACCGAACACAATGACTGTAAGTCAACTGAGATTATAGAAACTTCCTTTGAAATACATGACAAAAATAAGATGGATCGAAGAGAGGTATATGAGAAAATAAGCAAAGTAAAACATTAATCATAGAATCTAGGTGGTAGAAATATGGGTATTTACAATACAACTTTCAACTTCTCAGAATAGTTGAAAACTGTCATTTAAAAAATACTGGAAAAACCATGATATAGGCACATACTGTGCCTTCTGTGACTCTGGAGGAAGTGACCTAAACACAGAGACTGTCTTCAGAATTGGGGTGGACCCTGGGCGGGGCCGTGGTCCTTGTCTGTTAACTGGGACTTCAGGAGGCATTGAGCCAGCAGCCACGGCCTGTGGCCCAGAAGCACCCTTGCCTTCGCCTTGCTCCCTGCATTCACTGCATTGCTTCTCCTCTAGCAGCCCAACCAGTTGAGCCATGGGTTCCTGTTCTCCGTGGTTCCCCAACACCTTATTGCCCCAAGTCACCTGCCCTAATGCTTCAGGACCTGAAACCACGTTTAGGGGAAAGGCGGGTCCCCTGGAAAGCCTGGGCTTCAGCCTCTTCATAGCCTGCTCTTGTGGGGCTCCCATGAAGGACTGTCTCCCTGGCTTCATATTGCATGTTCCACCGGCGGAAGTGCCTTCTTTGCAGCACTGTGATGTTGGCCCTCCTCAATCTTTGCGGCCCATACCCACCCATGACACAGCACTCAACTTCTTGTTGTCTCCCATGTTCAGCCATCAAACTCTGGGAAAGCATAGCCTGGGTCTCACTTGTACTCCTCTTTTGTTTCCCTGACCTGGCCGCCACCAGAAAGTGTTCAATGGTGATTAAACGAAGACGAACTAACAACTATGCCAACCCCAAGTGCTCTTTTACACTATAACATGGGTGACAGTTCTGCCCCTACTAGACCATGTGAACTTTGAGGCCATGCTCAAGTCTTACTTATTCTGCGCAGCCGGGCGTCTAACACAGCCTGGCTTACAGCACGCCGCTGTATGTGTGCAATGAAACAAGCTGCTGGGGGAAAACGGAGCCACCAGCTGGCTTTGGTGCAAAGACCCGTGAAAAGGACTGTGAAGGAAGAAAAGCAACTGCTCAGATCAATCTTCTAGGCAGGGGGTCAGTGAACCTGCTCTGTAAAGGGCCAGATAAAACCTTCCTCACAAAACCCAGTGGTAGCCCATGAGAGTGCAGGCAGTCTGACCTTGTGCGGACACAGGGAGGGAAGAGCAGGCTCTTGGGAAGTTTTGAGAGACTGTTCATCCTACTGTGAGCACTGAGCAGAGGGGCCAGGAAGGAAGCCCCATGGGGACTCAAGTTAAGGTGTGAACATGGGTGGGTCCTGGGGACTGACTTTCTGTCAGCAAGTGACTGTGTAGATGGATATGTGTAACAAATACTTCAACAGATTGCCATATCTGTGAGCTGTGCAAATGTAAATGGATTCAGCTCTCACTAGACTCTGTTGTCCTCAGCCCCCTGCTAACCTCTTCTTCCTTCTCATTCAGACTCTTCCCAAGGGCCAGTTTATTAGAGCACAACTGATGTCCTTAGGTAAACATGGGTTTCCTCAACCCTCAATGTGCTACAAGTGTGTGTTTTAGGGTGTGTCCAGTGATAACACAGGCTAAGGGCCTAACAGTGCCAGCATCACTCCCCCCGGCCCCCAGCTGCTAGGTTCAGAAAATTTGGAGTCTTTCAGACCTTTCCTCCATCTTCCCGAATTCACTGCTTCTCCCCATACAGCCCATGAGTCTCCACACAGTCTGAGCCTAGTCATTTGGTCTGACTTGAGCTCATCTCCCACCCAACACTTCCTGCTTTGGTGTCAGTCAGACTTCTGAAAGTACCATTTTCCACCTCCCAAACTAGTCGAGTCCATACCCGCTCTGTTCCCAGCCCTCTTACTCGGCAAGGCTCTCTGAGGTTGAGCTGGCCATGTCTGTTCTCAGCTCTTTTCTACCCTTCTCTTGCTTGTCCTGTCCTTAATGACAAGGCTGGAAACCTGTCAACTGCACTGCTGGAATTCCTTGGTGGCTGGTCTCTGGGGAGATTCTGCCAATGAAGGCAATGAAAGAAAAAAAGCCATACTTCCTTCCCCTTTCTGCTCCTAATGACACATGGCTTTTTAGGAGAAGGAGTGGCTTCTGGGTTTTAGAAGCACTGGCTAGTGATGGTGGTTTCAGGCCCTCAAGATCCCTCAAGGCAGTGGTACTACAGGTTCCTGACCCCTCTTCAGTGATAGTGATGCTCTAGCAGATGCAGTGACAGCGGGTGCCTAGCACCTGTCTTGTGTGGTGATCCAAGCCCCTGGCTAACACCATTTTCCTTCTTGCTCCTTTCACTGAAGACCAGGAACAGCTCCCAGTAGTTACCAATCTGCAGGTCACCCACCCCACCTCCCTCTTTTTGCTCTTCAACCCTTCAAATGCCTTCTGACCAGTCCCCATGCCCTCTATGTAAAACACCTTAAGTCTGGTTGGTGTGGTTCAGTGGATTGAGTGTCGGCCTGCAAACCAAAAGGGTCACCGGATTGATTTCCAGTCAGGGCAGCACATGCCTGGGTTGCGGGCCAGGAGGCAACCACACACTGATGTTTCTTTCTTTCTCCCTCCTTTTCCGTCTCTCTAAAAATAAATAAGTAAAATCTTAAAAAGTAAATAAATAAAACTCCTCAAGCAGCTTCTGCTTTCGAGCCTGGATGCTGCCCAACAGAGTCAATGGGGAACCGACCCTCAGCCTGAGGGCATGAGAAAATGGAACAGAGACCCAGCTAAGAAACTCCCAGATGCGCACCTCTGCAGAATCCACTGTTACATCATGTCACCAGCGTGGTGGCTTCCTATTCCAATATAGGCATAGCACCCCTGGGCCACCTGTCTGCACTCTGCACAAGATGCCACTGCCTGCCACAGGACACCTCCAGTCCCTTCATGCCAGCCTGTCTGTAGCATTTCCCCAGCTAATGTTCCAACTCTGGGTTGTAATTCTTTACTTCACTGTTCTCTTCCACAGAGTTCTAGCATAAGCTCTATTCACATTCCTCTTCCATATATTCTCTAAAATCAAGATTTGCATTTAATTTTTTCCAAGAACTTGTTTTTTTAAAAAATCTACCAGTATCACTGTATTGTCCATCACATCTTACAATCTAACCTTAAGAGGCTTCCATGAAGGCCCATGGAAATCCCTCTTTCTTTTAAATAACTTTTAATTTGTATCCTTTCACCTTCGCTAGCATTTATTATACAGTAAAAGCTACAGGTACCTGACAAATTTAAGATCTATATCCTGGCTGGAATCTAGCAGTCTCTTCAAAAATGAGTTCTTTGAGCTTCTCCTTAGGCAAGTCATCCAATTCCATGTCAAACTTGAATGGTGCTTCAGCGATGGGCTTTAGGAGAAAACAAAATATTTAGTAGACAACAGTTGTTATGGTTAAGGAAATTGTTTATTGATTCTTAAAATGACTATGGCTTAGAAATTTATACAAGACTGATGTTCTAGAGACTGAGAACCACGGTAAGTAGGTACTTGTGCCCCAGACGCCTGATAGTGCACTCCCCATGAGTACTTAATAAATGGACCAGGAGCAACTGAATGGAGTATTCATGTAACCTTGTCCCAGAATAACTGTCAAATCTTTTAAGGCACTGAAAGTCAAAAATCACAGAAACATGATATTGTAGGGGTGGTAGTGATGGTATATTTATATAATCAAAACCCATGCTAATCAAATAGATGCATTTGATTAAATGCATCACAGTATCTTTATATGTAGAAATATTATGGAACTGTTAAAAATGAAACTAAAAGAATGATTAATATCACAGGAAAATGCCCATGTTTGTGTTAAGCAGGATGAACCCTATTTTATTTTAAATTTAGATACAGAAATATAACACTGGGTGGCACAAACTCCAAAATTTTAATAATAATAACTGTAACAAAACTACAAAGTGATCTTCCTTGTATTTTTCCTGCAAGTTTTATTTTAGTGCTCTCTATAAATAACCAGAAAACTTTTTTTTCCCTCTCTGTGGTACTGAGTGACAGCTGCCAGTGGCACAGTCCCAGGGCAAGGATGCCCCCAAGGGTTTTTCTTTCAGCACCAGCTACCAAACAGCCCCACTACCTGGGGGAGGACCTGTGAAAGTGCTATCAGAAAACTTTTTAAGTACAGATTTGAACTATTTATGTCAAAGAACCCCATACGTAAACACTTACAAAAAATGAAGTTAGTCAGTATTATGTATATTTTGATTTTTAATTAACCTCTAATTCTATGTTACAGAACTAACCTAATGATGATACCAGTTGTTGATCACTGGATGTCTAGTAGTTATTCATGTATTTCTTACACTGGACCATTAGGGGACAGAAACGTGGACTCCAAACCGTACTAAGCTTTGGCCTCTTGAAAAGGGGGAAAAGGATTCACGCCCGTTAGGGAAAATCAAATGGTTAGCCCTCCCTAACGAATGACTCTGTGGGATCACACTAGGTGTCCTACCTACGTCATCCTTCTAGCCCTCCCAACCCCAAGCTGGTAGCACCCCAGCTTGTGATTACAACACAGGGCCTTTGGAAATCTCTAGCTCACAGGGCTAGCAAGGGCTCCAAAAGGTATACTCTCAGCTAGTTCCTTATTATTTACTATGTTGTAGGTATGTTTACAAAATGCCTTAATTGTTTCTGAAGGGGATAAAGGTGGAAGGGGAACCTGATTAATTAATACTTCCTCTTTTTGATTTCTTCTTTCTCTTTCATTTATCAGTATTGGCTTTTATAGTTTTTTCCCCTCCTCTTCCATTTTCCTTTAGTTTTAATAAATTCCTTTTGGCTCTCTCTCTTTTTAAAATAGGAGTGTGAAGGCTTGTTTTCTGCGCATATGAGCCTCCCCTAGAAACATCTCAACGTTGGTTCATAAACGTATTTTTCTCTGCTATCTTTAGCTGGATGTCCAGAATGCTCTGGAGAGCTGTCACACTGACCTCTAAACTCATCATTTCTTACCACAGCAGGCTCTTGTGTCCCCATCTTCAGGGAGGCACACCAGACAGGAAGTCACCAAGCTACAGTGTGAACTGCCAAGGCTGACCTCCCACCCTCTCACTCTGTGACACCCTCTCCTCAGGGCAGGCACTTTGGTTCAGGTGTTTTTTCCTGCCATAGATTATGACAATAGTCTTCAATACTGAACCCCTCCCTTATCTGTGCCCCCCTTTATCCACCCCCCCACCTCTGCTGTAGGGGGCCTGGAAGAAGTTTTCAAAAGTAAAAGAGCCTTAAGGGGATGGGGAGAAGTGTCAAGCTGTCCTCACACAACTAGGCCTCCAGGCTGAGGATGTGGGTGTGGTGGGAGGACCAGATAAGGCACCACACAGTACCTCTCAAAACAATTTAAGCAGGATACCTGGGCCCCTCTGGATTGGGCTTGCTGCTGACTCAGACGTGTCCCTGCAGAAGCAGCTAGGAGGCCAGGCTCTTACCTCATCACTTGGGTCATAATACTGCTCCAGATACGGGTGGGCCAGTGCCTGTTCCACTTCAATCCTCTTGTGAGGGTTGAAGGTCAACATTTTGTCCAGTAAATCCAGAGCTACAAAGACAAAGGTTTTGCAGTGGTGAGAAGCCAAAGGAATAAAAACCGAAATACTTTCCATTTCCTGTTTAAGTAAAATGACCCCCAAAACAGTTGAGCTAGGCATTGCCTTAGGGAGAATAGTCAGCACATTGAGTGCCTATTATATTTCTGAGCTTCTTGAGTACATGACCATCTGACAATTGCAGACCCAGACTCAGAAAGATGACGTGATCAGCCAAGGACTGAAAGTAAAAGAAAAAAATTCAAACCCACGTCTGCCTACTACACTTGGACTTTTCCCTAAATCACTACTCTGCTTTGTAGGTGTCAAAAGCAACAACATTATGTATGTACTTCTTTTAAGTCAACTCCAAAGTGATTTCTGCAATGGTCAATTTATGTTTCAACATACAGAGAAGACCTCCAAAGTTATAGAAGAAAATAGTCACTTGTCCTCCTACTGAGAGCCACGTGTGAAGCACAGGCACCAGTCTACTCTGCAGCTTGGCATCCTTCTCCAGGGCCCAAAACTAAACGCATTCTCTTGACCGGACCATAGTCAGCAGCTGAACATTTCTTTCATGTTCAAACTGTAGTAGGAAGCAAGTGTGCCAACAGGAATGAGACAAGGGGTGGGTGGCTAATGAACAGTTTATTCTGGTGGATTCCATACACAGTATCCAGGGACCACTGCAAGCCATGAGGATAGCCAAAGGGCATGGCTAACTGTGGCTGGGACAAGGATTACAGGGAATGTAATAGAATACTTCCTGTATTTAGTATCAGGAGTAGACTTCAATGAGAAACACTCATTGTTCTGATAAACAGGTAGCAAAACTGAGCTTCTTTTTAGAATGTCTCCTTTTATTTAATGATGCTCAGACCAGTGGTTTCAATTTAAGCAGGTCCTTTCTTTAAATCCTAAAAGGAGCCTCAAGACAGGGAGTGACAAAAAGTTACCTTAGCCTCTCTTAAGTCCAAGCTCACAGCCCTGAGACACCCCTGAAAAATCCAAGGGCCTCAAGGATCAAGACTGAAAATCTATTGCAAGCTTGAAAAAGAGTATATAATTTTCAGAAAATGCAGTGACAACAACAACAAAAAAACCCAGTGAGATGCATCAACTAATCAAAGTGATAATTAGGTTATCATCTGCATCCACGTGCAAATCAGCATATGCCAATGAGTTCTAAAAGCAGAATGGTAAAGGAAAATCATTTTACTTATTCAATTACTAGAAAATATTTTCAGCCCTGGCTGGTGTGGCTCAGCGGATTGAGTGCCAGCCTATGAACCAAAGGGTTGCCGGTTTGATTCCAAGTCAGGGCACATGCGTAGGCTGCAAGCTGGGTATTTTGTTAGGGGTGTGCAAGAGGCAACCCATCAATATTTCTCTCCTTCTCTTTGTCCCTCCCTTCATCTCTCTAAAAATAATACATAAAAATCTAAAAAATTTATATATATTTTCAATCCTTGTGAGCAGCAGGCCAACCTCAAAGAGAGCAGGTGGAGGGCTGAGGAGGCACCTAACTGCCGGAGTTCACTCTAAGGTGTGTGCATGTGCGTGCACATGCATGCTTTTGCACACTCACTTCTGACTCTGACTTGTGACTTCCCCTGTTGCACGTCACACTTCTTGATCTTCAAGACAATTAAATGTTGTAAACCACATGTTGTACATAGTAAGAAATTCCACATAACAAAGAATTTTTCTCATGTTCATGAAGTACACTTGTTTTTTTTTAAAGCATATAAAATGAATTTTTGCCTCTACTGATAATCTTTTGAACACACACAAGTGTACCTTAGGAAATCAGGCAACAATGACATTTTGCCCTACAGACTAGAAGGCCTTTCAGAGCAGAGGAGGCTCTTGGGAATCTACATATTTTGGGCTTTGACTGAAACACTGTCTGGGCAGCAGCAGAAGAGGTGTTTATTCTTGCAGTTGTGACATGGGGTCTTGAGCCCACAACCAGCCTCCATTTCTGAGAAGGCTCTATCAAGGGTCAGGACGGTGCAGCACAATGGCCAAGAACTCAGGAATCTCTTGCTCAAATTTGAGTCCCATGGAATACCAGGCAGCTATGTAAACACAGGACACACCCTTTGCTGAGTAAGTTTTATTTTTTACAAGTTTTTAAAATTTTTATTTATTTATTTTTAGAGAGGGAAGGGAGGGAGAGGAGAGGAGAGAGAGAGAGAGAGAGAGAGAGAGAAACATCAATGTGCGGTTGCTGGGGGCTGTGGCCTGCAACCCAGGCATGTGCCTCGACTGGGAATCGAACCTGCGATGCTTTGGTTCACAGCCCGCTCTCAATCCACTAAGCTATGTTAGCCAGGGCTGCTGAGTAAGTTTTAGAGTATTCTCTGTAACACAGGTAATAAAATCTAACCTCATTCCTTCTCCCAATCATACCTCCCGCAAAAGAGCTCATAGACATTTCCCCAAGCACTGTCCTGAGATTAGAAGTCATTTGCCCTTATGTCCAATTAGACACCATCTGTGTTAGGAAAAGTCCAGGTGGTCCTGGCCATAGTCCAATTCTAACAGCATTATTTCTAAATGGTGGTGTGGGGCAGGGGGAATACTTTCCCACTTGAAGGCACCTAGATAACTGCAGTTTAAGCATTTCTAAAACAGATCTGTAAATTTCTTTTCAATGTGTGGTTGCCTCTCTCACGCCCCCCACTGGGGATCTGGCCCACAACCCAGGCATGTGACCTAACTGGGAATTGAACCGGCAACTCTTTGGTCTGCTAGCCAGCACTCAATCCACTGAGCCACACCAACCAGGGCTGTTAGTTTCATTAAGAAGACTTCTAGGCCCTTAATCTTCCAGGTACAATTTCAAAAGATAACTCTTTTTTTGCTATTAGAAAAATAACTGAATCTCTAGCCTCCTTTTACTCTAAGAACCATTTCTGAATTATTCACGACTGCAGAAGGGGAAAAGGACAGAAATGGGAAGCAGCTGGCAGGTGCCAATGCCAGTTAGAGTGCCCGGCCTCCCTTCTCCTATGCCACACAGCCATCTACTGGCACCACTCAGAGGGCATGAATCATGCTGCCTGTGCGTGTATGTCCTTGGATACAGGTTTTATTTCTCCTGAAAGACCTAAGTCCCTCCAAGGCTCACAATGATCTCTGACTCTCCCTGGTGCCCTCAGAACCCACACCTCTTTAACTTCAGTGGGTGCTTTAGTTAGCAACATAACCCCACCCTTCTGGCCCATCAGGCTTTTTTCTTCCCCTCATAGCCCAGACCCCATGGTGGGTCACTTGACTGGCTCTCTACTGCAAGGCTTTAGGTACATCTCACCTATCCTGCAAAACTGATTCTGGACCAAGGCTGCAATCTGCCACTTCCAGCTTCAACACAAGTTTCTTAATGGAGCCCAAGAAAAAGACCTAGCTGTGCAAACTGTGTCACCACCACTTTCTGACCACAGAAACCTACTCTTAAAAACTGTCAATATTCACCCCTGGCTGGCATAGCTCAGTGGATTGAGTGTGGGCTGCAAACCAAAGCATCGCAGGTTCGATTCCCAGTCAGGGCACATGCCTAGGTTGCAGGCCAGGTCCCCAGTGGGGGCCACGTGAGAAGCAGCCACACATTGATGTTACTCTTTCTCCCTCCTTACCCCTCTCTAAAAAAATAAACAAATAAAATCTTTCTATAAATAAATAAGTGACTAAATTAGGCAAGGCGTGTCAGACTATTAAAAAAACCTGTTGATATTCAATTTCAAAAGGCAGCTATTTCAGTTCATTAATTCAAACTGTGCCAATATTTCCCTCGAGAAGACAGCAGTCCTATGTTGCAAGCATGCTCTATGTGTATTTCCCATTTTGTCATACAGAACATTAGTAAGACATATGTGAAGAATGGGGTTCAATAAAGTATTTATCACTGCTTCAATAAGGACATTCTTACTGGTTGTCCTTGGTTTTTAGCTGTGAGGGCAAGGCACTCCCACCACCTTGTCCTGTGTTGAGGGGCTGGCAGTCTTGTTCACCATTGCTTCTGCACCCAAGAGTGCAGACGGCAGCACAGAGAAAAAGGTACAAAATGCCTTGGTGTTAGTATAGAAATAGTTTTATCCTCACAGACACCCTAAAAAGCCCTGGAGACCTCAGAGGTGTAAGGAGTACACTACTGAGAACTGTTGTGGCACAAAAATGCAGGGCTTTTTTAAAAACCTTATTAAGGCCACCAGCAGCTCTAGGAAATCCCTAGCAGCCTGTTCTCCATGCTAAGATGCTTCTCAAGTCATATGGCTTAAATCACGACATTCCTGTCTACTGGCTCTCATTACTCTCAGCAGATCTGACTGTGGGTGCTAATGAGGAAACCGAGATCCCCGGGAGTGACCCTCCTGGATGTCCCTCAACCCAGATTCACACACGTCCTTGCTGCGGAAAGAGGAGATCCTCTCGCTAATCAAAGCCAATCCTGTGATATGTGGCCTTGTCACAACCAGCGCCCCTCACCTAAACCAGTCATTTCTGTCTCCACTTTCCATTTCAAACTTCTTACATACACTAATATTTTAACTGCTGCTATGTTGTCACCAATGACCTCTTAATTGGAAGCCTCTCTACTGCATGGAGACTACTGAACATGTCCTCTTGATTATAATGCCATCTTCTACTTCTGTGAAATATTTATTGTACTAGTTATTTTTTGTTCATTCTTTTTAGTCTTCAAGAGTTGCTATTCCACTGCCCACTGAAGGTTCATTTATCTAGTTTTTTTATAGATCTCCTTCTATCCTCTCAACATCTTGCATTATTTCAAATGCCATGTGTTAAATAACTCTCAAATCTATCGTTAGCCTAGAACTCTCACCCAAGCTTCAAATTAATAACCCTCCATGGATAATTAAGAAGGATATAGCTTATGATCGAATTTACAACTTGTATATTTATAGGGACAGTAACAGTCTAGAAGCTTTTCAAACGGTAGTTTATATGAGAAATGGAGAGACTTTCTATATAGACTCCATTGTTT